TTTCCACGGCACCCCCCAGTACCCCCCCAAAAGCCCCTAATTGGCCAAAGGGCCTTGGATGTCCCACCCCTCCCTGGAGAATGGCAGGTGGCCATCTGTCAATCTCTGGGGAGGGGCAGGAATTCCAGGGACCTTCAGCCAATCACAGGCATGGGGGGAAGGTGCTGCACTCCACCATGAAAATGGCACCCAAGGTGCCTAAGGCCACACCGGGACGATGAAATTCAGAGGCAGCCTCTGTGAATTAGGTAGGTCCCTAGTTATAAACTAGCATAGTTGCACTGAAGTAACTGAAGTTATTGGAGCCCACAAATTCATTAGGTTCTGAGATATAAAGAAGTAGTAGCCAATCAACTGGAGTTAGATCATTTCAGGTGAGCCAGGGACCCCAAATAGGCTAACTAGACCTTAGAGCTTTGCAAATGATGGATTGATTTTTCAGTTCACTGGCATTATCAAAAGAAAGAAAAAAGCTGAAATGTTTACTCTTTTCAATTTCAGTACACACCGTGCACACACACTACTGCATTGGGACTCCTCGGTTAGAGACAGAAATTACACATAAACTAGTATAAGTGATCAGAAACTGGTTCATATCTGTAACACAACAGAAATTCAATTCATGTAAACCACTTTCAAAATGGCTGAAACTAGTTTAAGATAAACCTGAATGGATGTAGTATCAGACTTAACTGACTTAGGTCAAATCAGTTTATGTAACTTCTGTCCCAGATTACCTCCAGATTCAAGTTAACTCACAGTCCTCCAGCATCCCCGAATGCTTTCCACCTCCCCCACAAGCCACCCCCCCCTCACAGGGTAGGCAAGCTAGCCTTGGCTCATGCTGTCTGCTGCCACCAAGCAGAGAGGCGTGCTGCAGGCATGTGGCTGCATTTCAGGAATCAAGAGTGAATGTCTGTTCATTTGCTTATCAGTTCAGTCTATGCATTTTAGACTAACCTGTGAAGATTGAATCCATTCAACCTCATGGGGTGTTGATTGTCTGTACTTAGCCCTCAAGCTGAGAGGACTACAGTAAAAGCCACATTATCTGGCACCTTACAAACTGACATGATCAGTAACTGGCATGCCAGTCAACACGGCAAAAGCAAAACCGGAAGTGCCCACCGTGGCACTTCTGGTTTCGCTGAGCCCCCACGGCCCGGGGCATAGCAACCTGCGTGGGGTCCACCCAACGCAGCCTGTGCTGCTGACCCCCCATGACTCAGGGCATAGCAGCCTTTCCCCAGTGTGTCCAGGGTACCCCTCCCTGTCCCCTGGGACATTGATGTGGCAGGAGGGGCGGCAGCCTGAACAGGCAAAGACGCCTGTTTGGGCCTCTCAGGTAACCGGCATATTTGGTTATCTGGCACCCCCCATTCCCCATGGGTGCCGGATAACAAAGCTTTTACTGTTACATTTATAGGCACAAAGGAATTTGTTTGTAAAAGCCCTGCAGCCAGATTTGAACTGAACAGATAGTCACAGCGTTTTTGTCTTCTGCAATACTGTGATTTGCTAAAGCACTAAGTCTAAGCAATTTATGATTTCACAAAATCACATCTTTCAAGTTTCACAATACAGTTAGGGGAACCAAATCTCATGTTTCGAGCATAAAATGGATCAGAAGTGTGACAATCATTTGAGTCATGTGATTGCTGTTATGGGCATTAGCTTTTTCACCCAGCCCTGAAGCAAGTACTGACTTCCTACAAAATTGTGCCTGACAAAGATATCCAAATAATGAACACGAAGAGCAAAACTCATGCCGCAACATTCTACTTTGTTGGATCTATGCAGTACTGATATGATTGCTATATTTTAATGCATTAACTGGTTAATCAGTTATTATGCAACATATTTGCATACCACACAGCTGAACTGTTTGAAGGTCAAGCTATTTATAAATACTAATGCAGCTCCCTCTGAAGCATACAGTCTCATTGACCTAGCATGCTTTTAGAGTTTTAGCAGGGCACTAAGGTGTCCCTGCTCCTTTGAGGCTGAAGCAGCCTGGCCAACAGCTCTGCAGGCTAAGCAGAGCTCCACAGCTGTGGGTTGCCAGGGTAAGAGCTTAAAGGGGTAATTGGGCAGCACCTGCAAATGTCACATGACCAGAAGGAGGCAGGGTTTGGGGGCGTATAAGTCCAGGGATGGAGCTTGCAGGAAGACTGTGTCTCTAGCACCTGCCAGGGAAGGAACTCCTGCATGAGGGAGCTACCAGAGGCCTGCTTTGCTACCCAAGTGCTTCAAGACTTTAGGAGCCTCCCAGGTACTTAGGCTAGGGAGCATGCTTTACTAAGGGTGGAAGTTTGTCCCCTTAAATGAATGTAGAATGGCAGTCACTGATAATGTTTAAGTTATAGCCTAAGTTATACACTGCCACTGCTTTGCTCCACTGAATTTCCAAGTTCCATGCAGCTGGGACCCAGCTGGGCCAGCCCCATGGAGAGGGACTGGATCCCATTCCCATGCTGCTGGATCAAATTGGGGCCCAATGCAGCCATAAGGAAACAGCCCACATGAGGCCTGATGCAGCCATGTGGGAATGAGCCCCAGGTGGGCTGTTCCCATGCAGCTGCATTGGACCCTGGCCCTGTGTGGCTGTATTGGTCCCAGCAAAGTTGTTCTATACAGCTAGATGGCTGCATCAGTGCAGCTGCTAGATTGGGCTCTCAACCTAGATCCAGCTCACGGCTGGACCTGGCATCACTCATCCGGCCTGCTGAAGAGGTCAAGCACTGTTGTATTAGCATAGTCAGCCAGAAGCTAGGGCAGGGTGACACCTTGAAGACTAACTGTTTTAGAGGGGTATGTGCTTTCATTGGCAACAGCCTACTTCATCAGATGTTATGAATGGTCTGGCAGAAAGGAAATATTTTATATAGAAGGGAAAGGGACAAGTGGAGTAGACCCTGCTAAAAGAAGGTTGATTCCATCAGTTGAGATAAGCTAAATGGTTATCACCTGGGAGGACACCTAAGTTATCAACTAGTTAGGCTAACCGGGCTAACCACCACTGGTGTAATCAGGGTGAAAAAGTAGCAGACAGATGATGCAAACTCCTAAAAAAGAGTAACCATGCTAAATTTATTGGAAAATGACACACCTGTTTACTCCGGTAGGTCTATCCAAAATATTCTGCATACCTATAATTGGTTATGTCCTTAAATATAATGCAAGCATTGTACTTCTTTGTGCTTCATGCTTATTCATCTGCAGTCACTTCTATATTTTAGGGTTTGCAGGCACAAGATGAAGGCCCAAAATCTCAAAATAAAACTGATTTTTCACCACTTCTAAGGAATCTGTAGGAAAACACTTGCATGTCATTAGGTAGCTTGATAAAATCCCTACCTCATCTGAGGCAGGGCCAATGTTCACACGATAGGACTGGCTGAAGTTTTTCAAGTTTGGTAAAACATTTGATAAAGCTGCACTCAGATTCAAGTTGATAATGAAACTTGAAACCACCTGATTATTTTTTTTATGTGGATTTAGGATTCACTACAAATACTTCTCACAAGTCTACCTGTAAGAGCCCGTAAGATCTCAGACTGGAGCCATGTGGACGCAGCATTTGTTTCAAGTTTGTAACCAATATTTAAATAACTTTTAGTTTACAGTCGAATCATTGTGAGAATATATTATAGCCATGACTACATACTTTGGGTTGTCTGGGTGGGGACATAATTATAGATCAGGCAGCCTTCTGTGTAACTTGTCATACTACCCTGCACAAAACTGGTTTTTTAGGTATAATCAAACTGATTCAAGACTCTACCATGTCAACAAAAAACACTATCTCAGAAAAATACACAATGGGCACGTCCACACGAGATGTTTACTGCAGAGATAATTCACTCAGCAGTAAATATCTCAGTGTCTACATAGGTGCCCCTATTAGGGTGCAGGAAACAAATAAACTTTGTAGCAGGGTAGTACTTGTAAATACAAGTATTACCCTGCTGCAGAGTTTGTTTGTGTGCAGCAGCATACATGTAGATGCTGCCTGCTGGCTTGGCCCACACTGAAGCACCCTTGTGCCCCAGCCAGCCCCTCTGCAGCACATTGAGCCTGGCTGGAGCAGACCTAGGCCGGTACAGTGACCCATAGGGGCCCCCTGTCAGCAGGAGCTACTCCAACCAGACTCCATGTGCTGTGCATGAATAAGATCTAGAGTTAAATGCTCTGGAGTTAGTTGCCCCCAGGCGCACATTCAAACGGCGCACTTAAGAGCAAAAAAATCCAGAGCAATAAGCTCCAAAGTTTAGTCATGTGCATTAATTGCACATATAGATGTGCCCTTTGAAATCAACGTTAAGGAGTTTGCTATTTCTCTGATGGGTGTTTGCGTTGGTCCATATGATCTGTTTTTCTGTTGGACAAATTTACGCAGTTCAAATTTGTTCTTGTGTATTTAAAAAGCATTGTGAATGAACGTTACTGGGGTTTGCCAACGGAGCTTCTTCTGCTACGTCCAAGGCTTATTCTGCCTACAAATAACAATCATATCTCAGGCTCAGTGTAACATGCTGAAAACCATAGGACCATGCAAATATTTAAAATTCATGCCCCAAAAACTGGGGGCCATTGTCAACCATAACCCTATGTGGAATTCCATGTCTGGAAAAGATTGCTTTAAGGTGCAGTATCATCTGCTGTGCAGTCATATTGTTCAATAAAGCAACTTCAGGACAGTGAGAAAAATAATCTAAAAACACCAGACAATCTTTGCCAGCTAGTGTAAACAAATCAATTCCCACTTTGTACCATGTCTCTTGATTATCATTGTCTATCCACGTTGGTTCCTTCTTATTCTTAGGCTGGTATTTCTCACGTGTCACATTTATGTACAGCATTTTCTCTCTGACTATTCATGAGTGGCCAATATGCGCACCTTGCTGGGGTCATCTGACCCCAGCAGTCTTTCCTGCCCAAGTGCAGGGGGACTGGACCTGATGATCTCATGAGGTCCCTTCCAGCCCCCAACATCTATGAATCTTTAAATCTGATGGCCACATTCCTTTGCCTCCCCTCTCCTCCAGCCTTGCCCAGTCTCATAATTATTATCTGCACAATGACCTTCCTTACAATAAAATGCAGCAGGTAGCCAAAATAAGCAATTACAAAAACATATAGGGCACATCTACACATGTATTTATGTTGCATTAAAATTTACTGTACAGTAAGTTACTGCTCAGTAAGCGGAAATAGGCTGGCATCTACCCGTGCAGGCGTTAAAGTCCATTAACTGTGTGTGGTATGATTTGGGACTAAAGTTAGTCCCAAATTAGTGTACACACTCAGTGTTACTGCCCAGTAAGGCATCTACATGTGATACTGTGCAGTAACTAATCAGGCATAAATTTAATACCTGTATGATGCAGCTATCAAATTTACACCCAAGTCAGTGTAAATTGCCATAGTTACTGTGAAGTACAGGTGTGCATGTGTAGATGCATGCTTGTACTGTGCAGTAATTTTTGGTTACTGTTCAGTAAACATGTACATGTGGATGCACCCATAGAGGATGCAAGCATTTTCTTTCTTCCTGTCTAAATTTCCAGTGGAGAAGAAAAACTTGGATTCTCTCACCCCTCAAGCTGTTCCTTCACTAATAAAATAAAGTTTTATCAATATGATCCTGCTCTCAGGTAAATGGAGAGGGGAAAAAAGTGACAGCTCCTATGTAAACATAATCAATTGTTAGTGCACTCTAGATAACTTTAGCAAATGTGTTGAATGAGTCAAGAAGTGGTAAGTTAAAACCAGTAAGCACCAGGATGGTAAATAGGAGAGAAATTGGGAATTATGTAGCATGTCACAGCAATAGCACATGGTAAAATCTCCAAAAGCAGTTTCTTCCAGATGCAGAATAATATAGTTACAGACATGTAACAGAAATATCCTTTTCTGAATTTCACTGCAAATAACATATTTTCCAGGGTATTACAATTAGAATTCCCTGCTTCATATGGCATGATGATTTGTTTTATCTCACACAGATACTTCATTGGACAGTGGCTGCTTTAGTTAATGCATTCTTTTTTTATATAGTTTCAGTCAGGAATCCATTAAAAGTTGCATATATATTTTTATTAAAAATTAAAGGTGGGGGAAAATAGCAGTGTCTCTTGAGTCCTGAGTGAATACATTACACCATAAACAATATACCTCTGGAATTGGGGAACAGGCAATGCTGATGCAGTCAACTCATAATTGTTAGAATGTAGATGACAGTTTGATTACAGCGAGGCTGCATCTGCAAAATATTTCCCTGATGGCTCAGCTTATCAGTGTCAGAATCCTATATAAAAAAATTCTGCAAAGGTAACCACCCATTTATGTAAGAACTCATACACTTTAACCTAGAATTTTTCCTAATGAACAGTATATGATCACAACAGTTGGATCACTCTAACTAGCACTGTCTGCTAGTGAAATGATCCATATCTTTTATATCTGTACATTATAGAAGAATATAATCAGTTGTGTTGCTGGCTATAACACACAATAGACACTAATACAGACTCTGTCTCTGCCTTGCTTTGCTTCCTCTCCCTTTGGAAGTAGAATGCTATTTGGGAGTTCACCTTCGATGCAGAATTTAGAAAGTAATGAGTCATTTCCAAGTTAGTTTTTAAGTCTGCATAAAGTTAGCAAAGTGTTTCTGCCAGCTCATATATGCTGAGCAGCAGGACTTTAAGCATGCCTAAAAATCGAATATTGACAATTTAGGCACCTCTGGCTTCTAAGCACCTCCTGGGATAGGTGACATCTGAGCATAAAATTTGCAGATTGCAGTTCTAGACATATGTACCTAACCTGGCAGCTAGAAGAAATTAGGAAATGTTTATAGATCTACCCTGAGTGCCTCTGATAATCCCATCTCTAGTCTGGAGATAGCCTTTTACCTCTAGGTTTTTTGGTTTATCTACCATGTTACTAATTCCTTGAGACATCCAGTATTCTGCAAGTTGTTCTCTTCAATGCTATAGGATTTTTTTCCAGAACAATATAAGAAAGTGCCTGAGAATGTCAAAATATTTTTAAATATAACTTTAATAAACTGTGTTAGTGAAGTTTATGACCCAAATTGACATTTGTTGTTGCTTAAACAGTTGAGTGTCTCAGGTAGAATCAATATTCTTTTGCTAATTGTTTTTATTCCCTCTCATCTCTTGAGTCCTTACAAGAGATAAACAAACTGTCTTAATCAGGCAATGTTATTTTATTCCCTGAGATCCAGTGCTGTCAGGAAAGCATTGA